CCTCTTCCCTAGCCCTCTGTACAATGCATCCCTTATTCCACATTATTGTCATACATATAATGCCTAATCGTATATTCCTTTCAATTCTTCCCCTCATCAGTTCTAATGTAGTGTTTATTATTTAACCACCCTTTTTGCATTCTCCCCCCCAGATACCTGTTCTATTTTGTAACAGTGGTGTTATGCAGTATTGGTCCTTTTATAACGGAATTATTTAACTCAGCATAATGTCCTCCAGGCTAACCCATGCTATGTAAGGTTTTATGAGTTCCTGGTTTTTCAGGGTTGTGTAATATTCCATTGTGTGAATGCACCATAATTTTTCTATCCATTTGTTTGTTGAGGGACACGAGTTACTTCCATCTTTTTGCTACTTTGAATAAAACAACAATCAATGTGTGGGTTCATACATCTGTTTGAGGTATGGGTATGGTTTCTTGAAGGTATATTCTCAGCAGTGGAATTGCTGAGTCAAGAGATATTTCTATTTCCAACTTTTTGAGAAAGCATCAGATTGACTTCCATAGTGGCTGCAACATTTTACATTCCCACTAGCCGTGAATAAGAGTTTCAATCTCCCCACAGCCTCATAAACATTAGTTGTTTGCTGCTCTGTTGAACTTTGCTATTGTTGTTGGGATGAGATGATATCTCACAGTTGCTTTGATTTGCATCTCTCTGATAGCAAAAGAGTTTGAACATTTCTTCATGTGTTTGTTTGTCATTTAATGTCTTATTTGGGGAAGTGTCTGTTCATACCTTGTGCCTATTTTGTGATTGGGTTGTTTACTTTTTTCTTATTGAGGTATTGGAGTATTCTATAAGTTTTAGATATACGTTCCTTATCAGATATGTTATTGCCAAATCTTTTTTTCCCAGTCTATGTCTTTTCTTCTTACTCTATTGGAGAAATAAAATTGGGATATTTTGGTGAGTGAAAATGGGATGCTATTTATAATTATAATGGAGTGCTATTTATAATGGAAATCCTTAAAAATAACACTTAAAAGTGCTCATGTGAAACATATTTATATTAACATGCTTTTGTACAAACAGAACAAGGGAACACTACATGGTTTAAAACCAGCAAATATGTATGTCAGAATTTTATTCTCTCTCAATAGCTATTCAATCTATATGCTAAGCAAGTCACTCAAGAAACAGGGCTTTCTAAAGAAGAATGTGGCATTAGGATTGAAGGAATACACATCAACAAACTGTGTTATCTAGATGACATGATCTTGCTTGCTGAAAGTGAGGAGGACTTGGAGCACTTTTAGCACTTGTATAAAAAATGACAACCTTCAATATGGATTGGATCTCAACACCAAGAAAACCTCCAAGAATTCCCATGAAGAAAATATTGAAGCTATCAATGAATTATCTTACTTAGATCCACAATAAACACATTTGATACCAGCAGGCAGGAGATCAAGAGATGTATTACGTTGGGAAAGTCTTCAGTCAGGGACCTCTCCAAATTACTGAGGAGCAAAGATGTCAATTTGAAGATGCCTAATTCAGGCCATGAATTTTCAATCACTTCCTATGCATCTTAAAGCTGGACAGGAAATAGGATGATAGAAGAAGAAGAAGCGTTGATATCTTTGAGGTCTGGTGTTGGAGAAGAGTACTGAATATTCTATTGTTATTGTTGTTGTTGTTAAGTGCCATCGAGTCATTTGTGACTCATAGCGACCCTATGGACAACAGCCCTAAACCCTGCTCTATCCTGTGCCAATCGCATTCTGTAGACTACCAAAAAAAACCAAAAACAAAACCCAAGCATATATCTTAGAGAAAATATAGCCTGATGCTCCTTGGAGGTAAACATGACAAAGCTTTGGCTCACATATTTTGGGCATGTTTCTCAGAGGCTTTTCCTTTGAGAGGGACATCATGCTTGGAAAGGTTGGCCGAAGACAGGGAGGCCAACATCTAGATGGATGGACACAGGGACTGCTGCAATGGGCTGAGTGTGTCAGAGGTAATGAGGAGGGCACAGGATGGCCTAGGTCTTTTATTCATAGGGTCGTCTCTATGAGTCATACTGGATTCAATGGCACCCAACGACAACAATGTATACTCATGCTGGAATAATTGATGTGAATTTGGACTATGCTAAGCAATCATTTCTAAGGTTATCCACATCATCTCTCTATTCCTTACAGTCATACTGTAGTTTTTGTTGTGTACCATTCAGTTGGAACTGATCTTGAGCTGACCTTGTGGTAGGTTTTCAGAAGCAGTTACTCATATGGGAGGAGACTGCTCATCTTTCTCTCATGGAGCAACCTGTGGATTCAAACCACTGCCTTTCATATTGCAGCGCAGCTCTTTACCAGTAGGCCGCCATGTGTACATGCTGATCACATCATTTGCCTACTTAAAACTATACAGTGGCCCCACAGTGTTCTTAGGAGGGACTTCTTGTTCTTCCATTAGACTAGAACAGACCCTGCACTCTTGCTGGTCTTACTTTTTCATGCCACCTTCCTCTTTCTGCTAAGCTCCAGCCTTAACCAACTTGATTCTGTTCCTCAGATAGCCCAGCCTGTTCCCTCCTACTTGGACCGATGTTTTTTTCCTACTGACTTTTCACTTTAAAAACTCAGATCTCAAGTTAAGTGTCATTTCCTCTGGAAGTCCTCATGTACGTTCCCACAGCTTTTTCTACCTTCTGTCAGCATCACACCCATTAACTGAAGCCCCATGAGCATGGAGTATGAAGCATGTAATACGGTGTATGAAACATGTAGCACGGTGTCAGGCACAAAGTAAGGCTCAGTAAATCCTTCATTCATTCAAGAATGAAGGAATGGTCAAGCTATTAGAACAGCCACGTGGTAACACCAAATAGGGAGTGAAAGCAGAGAGATGAAGGAAAAGGAAGAGAGAACAATGATTGAGGTCTTTGGTTCATATGGTACCACATGGCGGGATTATTCAGAGGTTTGGGAGGTGATGTTTTTAAGTATAATTGACTTGGAACCAATGTGTAGTTGACCCTTCAGCAGGTTCTCAAAGGTAGTAAATTGCATGGGAGGAAATTGTCCATCTTTCTCCCGAGGAACCAATGAAGGATTCAACTGCGTGCTTTTGGGTTGGCAGCTCCTTACTACTAGGCCAGCCGACCTTCTTCCAAACCAGAGTTTGTAAGGAAGATGCATTTGCTTTAGATATGTTGAGTGTGAAGTACCTGCGAAACCTCAAGGTAGTGATGCTCAGAAAGAGGTTTATCCACGCAGGCCAGAATTGTAGGAACGAGACAAGATTAGAGGTGTTAGTTTATTAATAAATGGTACTAGGTAACAGTGAGGCCCAAATAGTTCAGTCAAGAAGAGTATAGGAGGATGACAAAATTAACAAAACATTTAAGGAATTAGCGAAAGTAAAAAATAAAATGAGAAGTGAAGAAGAAGATGGACGAAAACTATCAAGAATAAGATGTTTAGAAGAGAGATAGGAGAGCAGTAAGGGAACCAAAGAAGCCTTGATAATGGAAGGCATTTTTCCATCAAAATTGCAGTGTGTCTATTAGAATGATTTCTCAGCTTTGTACTATCAACATTCTGGACTGGAAAATTCTTTGTTCAGGAGCCATTGCTGTTCACTGCATTGTGAGCTTTGTAGCAGCATCTCTGGCCTCTATTCACTCCATGCCAACATTGCCATGTCCAGCTGTGAAAACTCAGAGTATCTGCAGACACTGCCAAATGCCTTGGGAGTGCAGTAGGGGAGGGCGGTATCATGCTTGATTGAGAAAGTACTGAAATGATATAGTGGAAACACAATAAATGGTCAGGAAATAAGTAAATTGGTCCAGAACCAACACAAATTGTTCTCATGGCAGAGTGATTTGGCGAGCCTGAAAATGTTAGATTGCTGCTTGTCACAAGAAATTAAATAAAATAGAGGCCTGATTACTTCATATAAAGAAAGATGGACTCATCGTCAACTCAACAGATCGACCCTTTCTCTCTTCACTCTGAGTGGACAGCAATTCCATTTTTGAAGGTTTAGAATGATTCCTAATAATTTGCTTTTATTTCCTTTCTCTTTCATGGGATAAGTTAGAAATCATTGATTAGATTGATGATAAATTGAAACATTTGTCCTATGAAGAAGAGTGAATTAAGACTAGGTTACCATGATAGGCAGATTACAAATGGATGTGTAAACTGCTTATAGGAGACATGCCCAGGTTAGGTTTTGAAGATATGTTACAATACATCACTAGTAATAAAATGTTCAAGACCAGATGAATTTGAATTCACTTAAGGTTGAAAAAAATTAATTTAGGAACTGTTGTTGTTATGTGCCGTCGAGTCATTTGCGACTCATAGTGACTCTATGTACAACAGCCCTAAACCGTGCTCTAGCCTGTGCCAATCGCACTGCCTCTGACACACCCATCCCGATTACCCCAGTCACTGAATCAATCCACCTCATAGAGGGTCTTCCCCTCCTGCGCTGTCCCTCCACCCTCCCAAGCATGATGTCTCTCTCCAAGGACCGGTCTCTCCTTACAACATGTCCAAAGTATGTCAGACGAAGCATTTAGGAACTAGACAGTGGAAATGTAGCAAAGTCAAATAAACATTGCATACTTTATTTTTTTATGATTTTTAAAAGTTCCTATTCTGTTTTCCTTCATTCATTGTTGCACATTTTCCTTCCTCCTCTCTTCCCCCTTGGCCAGTTCACTTTGTAATGCACCTCTTGTTCCAGGTGATTGTCATATATATAATGCTTCACCATATATTCCTTTCAGACATCATGTACTTCACAAGTGTACATGTCATTCACTTATAGCATGTGGAGGAGGGAGGAGGAAAGTGTGCATATGAAGGAATGCATGAAACCAATCTCTTGGTAAACCTTCTCTAAAATAGAAAAAGAAAATAGAATGACACTCTTCATCTCTCCCAATAGTACATAGATCATAATTAGAAAACATGATCACAATTGCAACTGTTATATTCAAAATAATTACTTACATGTTGGAAATATTGGGCAGATCTGAAAAGGCACAAGGCGGAATGGTTTTCAGATGTGTCTCTACAAATTTCCTAGAAAAAGAACAGTTACCAAAAAAAAAAGAGTTATATAATTAAAGGTTTAACAATTGGAGTCTTCTAATAACCTACCCTAATTATTAGACTACATCATTAGAAACCTGACAGTTCTTACAAAGATTCATTTCGTTACTCACAATCAATAAGGTCAATACAAACACACAGCTTTTGTTCTCAACAGGAGTTGAAAGTGAGATGCAGCTGCAGAAAAGGAGCCTTCAAATCTCATTTTGTGTTAACTCTAAACTGTCGTTGTTGTGTGCCATCAAGTTGATTATGATTCATAGTAACCCTATGAACAATAGATCTGAGCCTTGCCCTATTCTGCACCCTCTTTATGGTCCCTAATATGCTCGAGCCTATTGTTTCTCCTAGTGGGACAGCACTGGTCTGTCAGTTTGCTGTACTGTGGTAACTTGTTGCTGTGATGATGAATGCTGTGCCACGAGTGTGTCAAATTCCATAGTGGTTACTCACAATAGAGAGTGTTTGGTGGAGCTCCCTTGTTAAGACAGGCTTGGAAGCAGGAGTGGCATCCACTTCCTAAATCACATGCCTTTGAAAACGCTATGAACATTAGAAAAATGATGATAATTACAGAACAGGGTTCAGCTCTTTTGTCCATAGGGTCACTATGAGTTGTGCTTGACTCAATGGCACTTAACAGCAACAACAACATTGTCATAGTAAGGAGTTGTGCTGTCAAGTCAGAGAGACACAGTTTGAATCTGCAAGCTGTTCCATTGGAGAAATATGGCAATCTTCTCATGCAACTTACTGCCTCTGAAAACCCACTGGAGGGTCAGCTATGGCTCAGCTTTGACTTCACAGTACAAAACAGTAACATTATTACAGTTGCTGTGTCAATCCATCTTATTGAGGGTCTCTCTCAGCCTCCATCTCTCCCAATACAATGTCTTTTTTCCAAGGACTGACCCTCCTGATAACATGCCCAAAATATGTGAGATGAGATTCCATCATCTTTACCTCTAAGGAGTACCCTGACTCATTTCCTCCAAGACAGACTTGGTTGTTCTCTGGTTGCAGTTAGTTGCTGTTGAGTCGAGTACAACTCATAGCGACCCTATGAACAGCAGACCTGAACCCCATCCTATCCCGTGGCATCCTCACACTTCCTGACCCTCTAGAGCCCACTGCGTCAGTCACTGTGTCAATCTACCTGGTCAAGGGTCTTATTCCCCTTTGCTGACCCTCAACCTATCCAAGCATCCTGTCCATATCCAAGGAATTGCCTCTCATAGCAATATGCACAAAGTATGAGGTGAAGTCTTATCTCGTTGCTTCCAAAAAGTACACTGGCTGCACCCTCTTCAAACTATTTGTTCCAAGGGATGCTCAGTGCTCTTCTCCAACACCACAGTTCAAAGGCATCAATTATTCTTCTGGCATCCCTATTCATCGTCCAACTTTCAGGTGCATAGCACATGATTGGAAAGATCATGACCTGAGCCAGATGCACCTTAGTCTTTAACATGACATCATTACTCATCAATAATCTGGAGAGGTCCCTATCTGCAGACTTTCCCAGTGCAATGTGTTGCCTTATTTCCTGACTGCTGGTTCTTTTGGTAGTCTGTGAAATAGTTAATACACTCCTCAAACATTAGAATCCAGAGGCATCAATTCCGTTTCCCTCATGCATTTTCACTGTCCAACTATCAGATTCATAGGAAACAATTGAAAATAACATAGCTTAGATCAATATTTGTGCCACTGAGTTGCCTGAAACTCATAGTGACCTTATGTACAATGGCTCTGAAGCCTGTCCTGTCCTGAGCCAGTCTCACTGACTCTGACACATCGACCTCCATTACCCCAGTTCTGTGTCAATCTATCTCATCTGGAGTCTCCTTTTCCTGTGCTGTCCCTCCACCTTTCTGAGCACAATATCCTTCTCCAAGGACCAGTACCTCCTGGCTGCTTGCCCAAAGTATGTGAGATCAAGCTCACATCTTCTTTTGTCATCCTTAATCACTCTCCAACTCTCTGATGCATAGCAAGTAATTGAGAAGATCATGGCCTGGATCAGAGGCACCTTAGTCTCTGACTGATATTGTTGCTTCTCAGTACTTTGGAGTGGTCCCTGACAGTAGATTTTCACAGTGCAATTCATTTTTTTGACTGCCTGACTAATGGAACTGAGAAAGCTATAATTGTTAAAAACCTCAATCTCTTCTCCATCTATCATGGTAACAGGTAAAAGAAACTTAAAGATGTTTTGAGTTGGGCAAGAATGCAGTAAAAAAACTCTTTAAAGTGTTAAAGAGCAAGAATGTCAGTTTAAAGACTAAGGTGCACCTGACTCAAGCCAGAAACAATGTTCAATTGTTTCTTATGCATATTGAAAGTCAGACAATAAATAGGGAAAATGGAACAAGTATTGCTTTTTAATTGTGTTGTTGATGAAGAGTATTAAAAACACTGTGGACTGCCAAAAGAACAAACACATCTGTATTGGACAAAGTGCAACTAAGGGGCTCCTTAGAGGCAAGAATGGTAAGGTTTTGTCTTAGATATTCTGGGTATGTTTTCAGGAGAGATCAGTCCCTAGAAAAAGACATCATGTTTGAGTTGAAACAGATTCTGTGGGGCACCTAACAACAGCTAATACTGTGTTATGTCACTAATTTTTATAGTGATTGAAATGCATATGTTTCTTGCCTAATCAATGCATCTTTGTAGCTATATTAGTTTATAATGGAATATACCAATGTTGGAAGACAGTGAACAACAAAAAAGTAGCTAATCAAGTCTTTGAAAAGTCTGGTTGTTTTAACTATGAAGCCTAGTGTTACTTTAATACAATTTCACAAATTTGGGTCTCCTAAATTACCTATTTTCCTTCATAGATCTTCCATTTGTAAATCTTTGACTGGGTTAATGAAACACCTTGTTTGTCCAGATCCAAGGTTTGGAAATTTAAAAGATGTAGAAAGCTCAAAATCCAGCCCACTACCTCTGAATTGATTAGGATTCCCAGAGATCCTTTATTGGGTTTCAGAGGCTGTAAATTATCGTGTAAGGAGATTTCCCAACTTTTGTCCCTGGAACACTTGGTGGATTTGAATTGATAATCTTCCCGTTCGTAGCACAACATGTAACACATTATGCCACTTGGGTTTCGTGTGAAAATAACAAGTTCTAAACTTTCATTTCTCCTTGGGGGCTAGAATTTTGAAGCTCTGTCTCACATACTTTAGGCATGTGGCCTGGAGGGACTGATCTGTAGAGAAGGACATTATGCTTGGAAGGGTGGAGGGACAGACAGAGCAGGAGAGGAAGACCTCCAATGAGATGGATTGATACAGTGACTGGGGCAATGGAGGTAGGTGTGTTGGAGTCAGTGAGCGTGGCTAAGGACAGGGAAGGCTTCAGAGCTATTGGACATAAATAGAGTTGATATGAATCACAGGTGACTTGATGATACAAAACGGCAACAACAACAAGCACCTTTCTTTGTAAAACTGGGTCATGACAAAGGAAAACAAAGAATGAGATACACACCTGTTAGGTATTATTCACAAAGAAGATATTCTACCTAGCCAGGTTTCTCACCAAGGGAAAAAACTCCAAACTAACCAATACACACAATGCCAGTAAGGATTATGTCTCTCAGAGCAGCTGTTCTAGTAATCATAACGTAATATGCACAATAAATGTGAAACAAAAAATGATGTGGGACACTAACAATCCTAGCCTGAAATGAAAACAAATTGTGTATTTGTCGAGCAAAATGATTTAGAAACATCGTAATTACAATGCGGTTTGGAGCTAAAGACTGACTGCAATATTGTTAAATGAAAGAATGAATACATAACAAGTTATCATATAAACCATGAAATTAAATTCCAATTTAGCAGCTCATTTATCTGATGCCTCCAGAAACTGTGAACTTTGATAAATGTCAATAGTTGTAGAGGGGCGTCGGGCCTTTTGGTCACTTTAAGTCATGCTCGACTGGAAGGCAATCAAAACCAACCATATTTGAGGCATGTTATCAGGAGGGACCGATTACTAGAAAAGAAGTCGGCTTGGAAGAATAGAGGATCAGTAAAAAAAGAGACCCTGCAAGAACAAGAGCGGCATAGACACACTGATGGGCTTAAAGCACTGCAGAGATGGTGAGGGCGCGGCGGAGTTGAGCGGAGGTTTGGTTTTGGTACATGCCTGTTGGTGTGTGCTGTCTGGTTGGCATCGAGTCATAGCTGACCCTCCAGCTGGTTTTCAGAGGCAGCACATCACATGGGAAGAGACTGCCCATCTTTTTTGTGAAGCAGCTCCTGTGAGGTTTACGGCTTCTGAAAACCTGCTGGAGGGTCAGCTATGAGTTGCTTCCGACTGATGGTACAAAACAACATACCTATTTGCAATCTTTATTCAGTTTTCCAAAACATTTTCTCTAGTGCTCTAAGGTGATGATAGTGGATGGGAAAAAATGTCCACATGATGTGGAAATCCTTTATAAAATGATACAGACGAGCCTGGATGTTAATAATTCAGATAGTAAGTAACCCCTTTGGAGATTTGTGGCTGGCTGTTAGGAAGCAATTTTGTGAGGCAGAGCTTATGACCAACCTGTTTCTCTCCATCCTCTCTTGCATGGGAAACATCTGAATGTTCCTTCAATCTGTAATTTTCTCAAGAGCTAACTTGGAATTTAAGTGGAAGAGATTTTTATTTACAAAAAAAAAAATCCTTTATGACTTTATAATTACTGCTTTAAAAGCAGATGGGGAAATGAAAACAAGGGACCAACATTCTACTATTTTATTTTAGTTTCAGAATTGTTAAATATATTCTGTGCATTTCTGTCAAGAATATATACACAGTGAAGCACACATCAATTCAGCCATTCCCTTCACACGCAGTTTAGTGGCATGGATTGTATTCCTTGACTTGTGTGCACATTCTCAGCTGTTTGTTTCCATTTTTGGAAGAGTATTTGGGAAAGAAGAATACAAACCTAGTTTATA